GTTGTTGTGTGTTCATTTTCATTTGTTTCCAGGAAGTTTTTGATTTCTTTCTTGATCTCTTTGGTAACCAGTCATTGTTTAAAAACATGCTTTTCAACCTCCATGTGTTTAAATGTCTTTTAGTGTTTTTATTGTAGTTGATTTCTAATTTCATGCCACTGTGATTGGAGAAGATGCTTGATATTATTTCAATCTTTTTGAACTTGTAGAAACTTGTTTTGTGTCCTAACATGTGGTCTATCTTTGAGAATGTCCTGTGTGCACTTGAGAAGGTATATTCTGTAGCTTTGGGGCAGAATGTTCTGTAAATGTCAATTAAATCCATCTGATCTAGTATGTCATTTAGGGTCACTGTTTCCCTGTTGATTTTTTGTCTGGGAGACCTATCCAGTGAAGTCAGTGGGGTGTTAAAGTCCCCTAATATGACTGTATTGCTGTCGATCCCTCCCTTAAAGTCCTCTATATTTTTTATAAATTTAGGTGCTCCTGTATTGGGTGCATATATGTTTATCAGGGTTATATGCTCTTGTTGGATCGATCTTTTTAGTATTATGTAGTGATCTTTCTTGTCTCTTGTTATGGTCTTCATTTTGAAGTCTACTTTGTCCGATACGAGTATTGCTAACCCCGGCTTTTTTTTCATTTTGCATGGAAAAAAATTTTTCCATCCCTTCACTCTCATCCTGTGTGAGTCTTTGGTTCTGAGGTGGGTCTCTGGTAGATAGCATGTATTTGGGTCATGTTTTCTTATCCATTCAGCCATCCTATATCTTTTTATTGGGGCATTTAATCCATTTACATTTAAGGTTATTATTGAAAGATACTTATCTACTGCCATTTTGTTTTTTTATACCTATGTTTCCTTTTCTCTTTATTTCTACTTCTAATTATAGCCGTCCCTTTAACATTTCCTGTAATGCTGGTTTTGTAGTGATAAATCCTTTTAGCCTTTTTTTTTGTCTGGGAAGCTCTTTATTTCACCATCTATCTTGATAATCTTGCTGGATGGAGTAGTCTTGGTTTCAGGTCCTTCTTTTGCATTATCTTGAATACTTCATGCCGTTCCCTTCTGGCCTGTAGAGTTTCTGATGAGAAGTCAGATGACAGCCTTATGGGGACTCCATTGTACATAATAGATTGCTTTTCTCTAGCTTCCTTTAAGATTCTCTCTTTGTCTTGGATTCTTGGCATTTTAATTATGACGTGCCTGGGCATGGGTCTCTTTGGATTCTGCTTGCTTGGGACTGTTTGTGCCTCTAGAACCTATGTGCCTTTTTCCTTGACCAGGTGAGGGAAGTTTTCTGCCATTATTTCATCAAACAGGTTCTCTAACCCCTGCTTACTTTTGACCACCTCTAGCACTCCTATAATACAAATATTGTTACATTTTGTGCTGTCCCACAGCACCCTTAGACTGTCCTCCTGTTTTTTAATTGTTTTTTGTTTTGGGGTCTCTGATTGAGTGATTTTTTTCTACCCTATCTTCGAATTCACTAATCCAATCCTCACCTGGGTCTGGGTGGGTTTGGACAGGACCAAGATGCACACCAAAGTGTGCTTTTCTATGGCCTGGGTCCCAAAGCAGATCAGGCAAAGACTCAAAGCACTCTGAGGTCTGCCTCTCCCTGCAGGCTGATTAATCTGATTCTCTTAATGAGCCTCAGGCTGTAGAAGCTCCACAGGGTGGGGGGGCTGGTTGTTACCAGTCTCTTAACAAGCCTCAGGCTGTAGAACCTCTGGGCCGACCAAGTGGCTTTCCTTCAGGGTAGGGCAATTGTTTCCCCCCTCAGGCAAAAATTCGCCTCCTGAGAAAGATGTCCTCCACAGTCTAGGGGTATAACTCTCCCCACGCAGCTCTAGTTCACTCTGCCCTCCCTCTGCTGGAACCCAGGGTGAGTGGCTGCACAGGAAACGTTGAGCACTGGCTCTTTAAGAGGGTGCCCGCAGTTCCAGCTGTTTCTCCCTGGCAGACAGAAACCCGGCTGCTTATTACAGCCAGGTGTTCTGTGGGCACCTTTCTCAGTTCTGGTGCTCTTGGCTGGGGAGCCCAGCCTGGGGTTTATGCCCCAGAGTCCTCAGTGGGAACCCCCACAGCTGAGATGTCCCTCGGGACCTTCAGTTGCTGCCTGTGGGAGCCCAGCCAGCCCTCTTGGGCCTCCACACTACCAGTCTCTGTGGGGCCTCCCCTTCTCCTCCTTGGTTATGAGGGTGCTCTCCAGCTCATCTTCAGTTGGTTTTCAGAATGTTTTTCTATGTTTTAGTTGTAAATCCAGATTGGTCCTGGGAGAGTGTCAATGTCGCTTCCATTCAGTCTGCCGCGATCTTGGAACCTCCTCTGGGAATTAACTTCTTTATCACTGGCTGGTTATGTTGTTTTAGAATCGTTACAGAATTATCATTTCTCACTAGCTACACAAAAATGGGGAAAACTAGGTTCCGACAAACATTTTTGTGCCAGGCGCCATTTTAATTGCCTAACTCATTTAGGTTTGCTATTAACTCATTGAAGCCTCCCAACAAATCAAGTGAGTATTATTATTATCCCCGCTTTACAGATGAACAAACTGAGGCATGTAGGACTTCGATGACTTGCTCTAAGTCATAGAGGTAGTAACTGGTGGAGCCGGGATTCTAACGTAGGCAGCCAGCCCCCCAGAGGCCGTGCTCTCACCACGGTTCTGTACTGGGGGCTCCTTGTCATGATAACAACCATTCTTCTCTCAAGAGAAGGGCATGGTATAATAGAATAAGCTAAACGGGGTTGAATTTAGGAATGTGAGGACAATGGGTAACCCAAATCTATCGGGAGGGGGCAATACTTCCACTGTCATCATATCTAAGGCACATAAGAAAAGCACCGATGTGGTTGGTGTTAGCTGATCTTCTTCTAATACAAACCTCAAAGTATCACTGGCATTCCCGTGTGTCAGGATAAAAAACTTATTTTTGTAAGAAAATAGAAACCAGGTGTAGGAGAGGGGAAACTATCTGAAGGGGAATGTACTGAATTTGGCAAGAGCTTTGAGGGTTGGAAATGGAACTGTCCCTTGGGTCATAGCCTGGACCTTGCTCTCCTCTGTAAGCATTGGCCTTTGATAAGTCACTGTGGCCCATAAATTCGGCAATACGGTCGCCCCAAGGGACGGTTGTTAGGTGCCTTCCAACCATATCGTGTTCAGGAAGACTCTGCTTTCAAGATTTTCCTGTTCATTGGGTTTTAATGATAATTACCTGGTCATGACCCTCAGTACCTTTGTTTCCTTGTAGGTTATCTTACAATAAGCCTTCTCATCTCTGTGCCAACGGTGTCTCTCCAGTGATGCTAGATTCTCCAAGGAAGTGAATCACAGTTAACTTGAATAAATAGAATTTGCTGAATAAAAGGTGTTTTTTCAATAGTGCCACTAAGTCATTTTCCCCCCAGATTCATCACTGACGTAATTTTCTCTTGAAAGCACATCTTTTGCAAAAGAATGACCACATGCAGGGTTTCCTTTGAAGAAGCCCATGAATGGAGGTTAAATCGCCAATGAATTCATTCGAAAACATTTCATTTCCTAGGATAAGCAGTAGCTTGTCAGGAATGGTGACACCCAAATGCGTATCAAGATATTATATTTCTGTCACAATAGGAAAGAGACTTCAACCACTTTTCTCTACCTACTTTCTCTCCAGTGCTTTCATTGAATACTTGGTCGCATATTAGAAAAACCTGACTCTGCCGAACTGTTGTAGAAATTTGCATTATGAGAAATGGAAATTAGAAGGGGCCACTTCCAAAACACACAGTAAACGCTAAGTCAACACCATGGCAGCGCTTTCAAGCAACAAGTACTAACCCAGATCTCTTTCAACCAGGCAGTAACAACCTTTTATACATCTTGAAAAGAAAATGGTGGAAATACATCCTGCTGGGACTGGCAGACGTGGAGGCCAATTACCTGATTGTGAGAGCGTACCAGTACACGACGCTAACCAGCGTCCAGGTAAGGGCCTGGCCTCCGATTAGGTTGGATTGCAGTTTTAAGAGAGGAATCTGAGCTCATATGTGTTCATAATTTTATGGAAAACCTGTTCACTTGAGGAAAACCTAAGCACAGGTGGATGCTATCTGTTTTCCAGTGGAGCATATGTGCTAATGAGTAAGGATTCTGGGAATTAGAGAAAATGTATACAAGTTAATGAGTTCCCAAACTGCAAATGATGTAGCAGCTTAGAACAGTTTCTACCCAAATAAGCATAAATATTTATTTGGCAACGGATGCTGTGATGTTGACGAGAGCTCTGCTTTATGTGTTCCTCTCCCACGGCATGTAAAGTGGATGTTCCTTTGTCCTACAGAAAAGGGGAGGTTTGCAAATAAAGTAGGTGTTCAAGACAGAGGAGTGATTGGAAGAACCTGCTAGACATCTTGGCTAGAGATGGTAGCCAAAGGCAAAACTTAACATCCGAATTTGTTTATTAGGATTTCAGCCTCTGGATTGAAAGAAAAATGTTCCTATATAGCAGTACTTTTCAACTTGGTGGAGTGGAAGAAGACGGATTCAGTTGTCTTTTCTTTTTTTAATTGAATTTATTGGAGTATATGTGAATCTAATGAACAAAATAAACTGATGAACAGCGTGGAATCAGAGGCATGGATACAAGGAACAGACTGACAGTGGTCAGAGGGGAGGGGGGTTGGGCGGCTGGATTAAAAGGTGAAGGGATTAAGCCAAAAAAATCTATCTCCCGTAGACACAGATAGCGGGGAGGTGGGGGAGAGGGTGGGGGTAGGTGGAGGTGGGCAAAGGGGGGATAAATTGGGATGGGAAGAGACTTCGCTTTGGGTAATGGGCTCACAGTGCAGTGTGATTCAGTTGTCTTAATGTTAGGAAACTATGGGATGTATCCTAACACCGACTCACCATTACTAACAACATGTTTCATAAATGGAGGTGAAAGTGAGATAGACTCTATTGCCAGGTTTAGACTTCACCGTTTAATGAATTTATACCTTTTTGATGTATTGCTTTTCTCACTATGTAAAACAGAGATGCTCTTATTTGATTTCCAGATTTTAGGCATGTGGAAAAATTGAAGTGAAGTGAGATTAGATTTGGAAAAGATAAGGATTGATGGAAACTCAGTATTTTTCCAATGTGAATATACATTAAATGCTGTTATTACCCAAACGCATTTTATTAAATGCTTTCGTTTTTGTAACATGGTGCTAGGCATGGTCCATAGCAAACCTTTCTCTCTCTTTTTTTTTAAAAAAAATATCTTTATTGATTTCAGAGAGAGGAAGGGAGAGAAAGAGAGAGAAACATCAATGATGAGAGAGTCATCACTGCTCGGCTGCCTCCTGCACGCCCCCACTGGGGATAGAGCCCGCTACCCGAGCATGTGCCCTGACCAGGAATCGACGCTCAGCCGCTGAGCTGCGCCAGCTGGGCAAACCTCTTGGATTTTGACGGGCATGAGCTTAACAGCCCAGATAGGAAATATTTGTTAAAACAGACATTATAGGAGGTACATGGAAAAACCCAGAATTTCATAAAAACTAAAAGCAGGAGTTAGTTACCTAGAGGATGAAGTTCATCACAAACAGTATTAACTGTACTTTAAACAATGGGCAGGGAGTATGTAGAAAATAGCATTTTCTAGTCCCATCCACCCTCGTGATCTCACAGACAACTCAATGACTTGCTTACAATTTCCAGAAACTTTGATCTCTGACTAACGATGATTAGAAGGTTTGAATTGGTGCAAGGTCTAAACACAGAGGCGTGTTAACACACTGGCACCGGGGTGTTTGTGACTGGAGTTCATGTCTTATAGTATCCAAAATAATGCTTTCATCTTAGCCGCTTAGAAAAACCTAAGCATTTGGTTGTCAAAAGTTATGTACTCATGGCTCCAGCAAGGAGTATATTTTATTTATTTATTTATTTGTTATTTATTTATTATGCATTTATGTATGTATTTATTTTTCCCATCTCCATTTATCCCCCTATGCCCCTTCCATCTCCACCCACCCTCCCCACCACGGAGTGTATTTTTAAAAGCCACCTGACGACTGGCGCCCGCTCCAGCAGTGGAGAGCGCCTGCCCCAGGAATTCCTCTGAGTCTTTACTCCAGTAAATCTCTGGCCTGGGTCATCTGAAAGGGTGGATATTTGGACTTGATGGTCTTTGAACCTCCTTCTTAAGGACTCCTGCACAGATTCTGTAATTATGAGTAGTAACCTAGGCATTTACGTGAAAGTCAGGATGTGGCCGTCGACACCCCGCGGCCTAGGTTTCTACTCACCTCTCCTCCCACTTTGCTGCCACATGTGCATGGCCCCCACCCACAGTCTGCTTCTCCCCTCTCGTGCGGCTTTGTTCTTTCTAGAATGTTTGAAGACCTCCTGCTCCATTCTCTAAGGCTGAATTCAGTTTTACTTTCTCCTCTATACTCCATTGTATCTCTAATAAAGTCTGACTCATTTTTATACCTACGCCTTCCCCGCCTTCCAGGGTCTTACTTAGTACCTTTTGCTTACTGTGACTGTACAATAATTAAAAAAAAAAAAAAAAGTATCTTTATTGATTTCAGAGAGAGGAAGGGAGAGAGAAAGAGAGGGATAGAAACATCAATGATGAGAGAGTCATGGATCGGCTGCGTCCTGCACGCGCCCGACTGGGGATTGAGCCCGCACCCCGAGCATGTGCCCTGACCGGGAATCGAACCGTCCTGGGCTGTACAATAATTTTTATTTTTATTATTATTATTTTTAATATATCTTTATTGATTTCAGAGAGAGGAAAGGAGAGGGAGAGAGGGATAGAAACATCAACGACGAGAGAGTCATTGATCAAGCCCGCAACCCGGGCATGTGCCCTGACCGGGAATCGAACCCCGATCGCCTGGATCCTAGGTCGACGCTCAACCGCTGAGCCACGCCCGGCTGGGCGTACAATAATTTTTAAAATTTAAATTAAATAGGGGGACTCTTGGAACTGAGAGCATCAGAGAATCACCAAGACTACATCTCGAAAAGGAGGTTCAATGTAGATAAACAGCTGGATGCAATAGATGTCAGATAAGAAGCCCTAGAGTTTTGGAGTTGGAAGGGACTTGTGAGATCGTTTGGTCTGACCTCTTCATTTCATATTTTGGCTCAGAGGGTGACTGGCTGTGACTCGCACAGTTGGTTGGGGGCTTGGGGAGTCTGGAACTCTCACCACGACCTAAGCAGTTCCCTTATGTGGCCACTCATTGCCCACCAAAATTGTTAAAAATAGAGCAAATTTAAGTTTGATTTTAAGATATGATTCAAAGACAGGGAGCCTCCTGTGAGAGGTTTTAGTGCCTGTCTCTACTTTTTTGTTTAAGGAATGTAGTTCAGACTTTGTTAAGTCATTCCGGCTGGATTCTGCTGGTGTCTTCCGGGACAGGCTATTATCATTCGCATCTTTGCAGCTTTGTTGTTCAGGCGGGCTCGATAAAGCACTTAGGAGATTAGAGTTCTGCAGCTGGAATAAATATCTAGGCAAGGTGCCCATTCCGGCAGGGGCGGCAGACTTCAGTGAGGACACTGCAGTGACGGAGGATTAGCCAACAGCTGCGGGCAGGATCCAACAGGCTGCTGGAGGTTTAGGGCCCTGCCTCGTCCAGGATGGAACAGACACAGGGAGAATCCCAGGCAAGGCTAAAAGCAACAGGATGATTTTGGATTTGCTATAATTTTGTCACCCTTAATCCTCCTGCCTTCCAGACTGGCAATAGCAGGGGTGTAGCAAGTATTTTCTGGACCCAGGGTCAACAGGTGATGGAGGAGCATATGACAAACTCGAGTATGTGCTGTGAGCCGGTGCCTGTCTGACAGGGTGGGTCGGACACCGTCAGGGGGATGGTGTCTTCTTGCTTTCTCACAGTAACTGGCACTTTCTTGTAGCTCTCAGCCCAATGGCAGTTAAATATCTGGCTGTGTGATTAATTATTCTGTGTCTGTCTAGCCTTCTGTATGCTCCTGAGGACAGGGCTTGCGTCTGTCTTTTTCTCTACATTCCAGCTCCTCTCAGTGTGTCTCCCATGCTGAAATATTTGTTGACTGAGTGAATGGGTATGTGCAGGTAGGAAAGTTTGCCTATTGAACTTAAGGATAAACCCAGTGGCAATGTAAAGGTAAGTTGCACAGGCCGTCGGGCAGAATTCCTGGATTGAGCAACTATCGCTCTGACTTTTTTTTTTTTTTTTATCCTTACCTGAGGATATTTTTTCCATCGATTTTTAGAGAGAGTGGGAGGGAGGCAGAGAGAGAGACACATCAATTGGTTGCCTCCCAAATGAGCCCCGGGATAGAGTCTGCACCCGAGGTATGTGCCTTTGACCAGGAATTGAACCTGAGACCCTTTGGTCCACAGGCTGATGCTCTAACCACTGAGAAAACCGGCCAGGGTTTTAACTGTGTGACTTTGGACCACTCATTTAACCTCTCTGGGACTTTGTTTTCCCTCCTGTAAAATAGGCTTTGCAGTTTCAGTCTCATAGGGTTGCTGTGAGGATTAAATGAGTTAATTCAGGTAAAGCATTCAGTACAGGGCTGGCAATCAATAACAATGCTCAATAGATGCCAACTTAAAAAAAATATTTTTATTGATTTCAGGGAGGGAAAGGGAGAGATAGAAACATCAATGATGAGAGAGAATCATTGATCGGCTGCCTCCTGCACGCCCCCTACTGGGGATGGAGCCCACAACCTGGGCATGTGCCCTGACCAGGAATCGAACCGTGACCTCCTGGTTCATCGGTCAACGCTCGGCTGCTGAGCCATGCCTGCTGGACATCAATGCTAACTTCTGTTATAACTTAATTACATGTATGTTAGCTGACGAGAGGTGTTTTACGCTGTTTGTTTCTCTTCCCATGCAGCTTTTGGATTGCTTTGGGATTCCGGTGTTGATGGCCCTCTCATGGTTCGTTCTTTATGCGAGATACAGAGTGATCCACTTCATTGCTGTGGCTGTGTGTCTGCTGGGCGTCGGGACTATGGTTGGTGCAGACATACTGGCAGGGAGGGAAGACAATTCAGGTAAGACTGTGTTCCTTAATTTTGGGTCAGTCCCGGAGGAAAGTTTTGCTTAAGTTTTCCCTTTTATTTTTCAAATACATAGCAAAAGGCAGGAAACATGTCCTGTTAACTGTCTTTTCAATTTTATTTTTAGATTTATTTGCTCCCTCTGGTACTGTAACCACTTCCACAAAGCACCTTTTATGTTCCTACCGGCCCAAAGTTCTTGTTCCCTTTTGTCACACTAATTTTGTTTTGTTTCATGAAAGAAGTTTCTTTATGTAGTTACAGTCTTCTTTTGGTACAGTTACTGGAAAATGTACTATAGATTCTTTTTTTTTTCTTTTTTTAAAAATATCGAATAGAGACTTTGTGTCCACTCTGTGGATGAAAACACTTTGATGTTCTTTGGATCAAGGTTCAGGCAATTGATGGTATAAAATCTCAATAAGGTCCACGAGTTCACCCAGTCCACAGGTGACGTCAATATCTCTCTTAAGAGAGAAATGACCTTGCTCACCTAGCTTCCTTCCCTATAATTTTCAATTAATTGCCTTCAATAAATTCCGCTAATTTCTCATGTCACAGAATCATTTTCTGAGACCTTACATTAAGACATGTACCACCACCTTCCAGTCTGTAAGTCTCTTGAGGAGTCAAAATATGAAAAAAATCACAGCAGAATTGTGCCGGAAAGTGAGAAGATTAAGAGCCTTTAAACTTCTAGAACTCAGGGTTTCTGCTTCCATAAAATCTTGACGTTAGGTGAACACGAGCCTCCCGGAGGCAAGCTGAAGAGGCTTCCCTATTGACGGTGTGTTCCGTTTTGTGGCTTGTCTTCCTACAGGCAGCAATGTGCTGATCGGTGACATCTTGGTCCTTGTGGGCGCTTCCCTCTATGCCATTTCCAATGTGTGCGAGGAATACATTGTGAAGAAGCTGAGCAGGCAGGAGTTTTTAGGAATGGTGGGCTTATTTGGAACAATCATCAGTGGCATACAGCTGTAAGTCTAAAATTTTCCTTAAAAACAGAATAAGCAAGTACGTCATAGAGAATTACTTTCCAGTTACCAACATCCAATGTTTATTTGGCCCAGATTCACCTTAAAAATCAGGAACTTGCTAAATATATATTAGAGGAGTTTTGAAATATTAAGAATTATGTCTTATTTTCTTATACATTTGGTACAGGCATTACCAGTAAAGACTTTTTTTTCCAGTTATTTCTGGACAATATTTAACTTTGTATTTTCTCCTATAGTGGACTACTATTATTATTATTTTTAAAAAATATATCTTTATTGATTTCAGAGAGAGGAAAGGAGAGGGAGAGAGAGAGATTGAAATATCAATGATGAGAGAGTCATTGATCGGCTGCCTCCTGCACACCCCCCACTGGGGATCGAGCCCGCAACCCGGGCATGTGCCCTGACCGGGAATCGAACCCCACTTGCCTGGATCCTCGGTTGACGCTCCACCACTGAGCCACGCCCGGCCGGGCTAGTGGACTACTGTTGAGGAGGGCTTTAAGGGAGTCAAATATGTTTATGGATTCCTTTGATTTTATTCTTTGTCATTTTTATAAAATATTGTTATTTTATACTCTAAGAAAGATTCAGAAGTCAACATAATTCCTCACCTTATTTGAAGTGTAGCACCTAAATGCGTTTTAAGTAGTGAAAATTAGCATGTGGATCTCTCTGTGACCTCTTGCTTTAATCTTAGATTGCTTGTGGAATATAAGGATATTGCCAGCATTCACTGGGACTGGAAAATTGGTATGTATGTAAAGGATCATTCTTTGTAGTCAATATCTTTTCCTCTGACAAAAACACACAGCAAGAAACAAATGCTTCATTTTAATAACATTCAGGCATTTTTGTAAAATCAGAGTAATTCAATATACAGTGTAGTGATTTGCTTTGAATTTTCTCTGAGAACTTGTGAACGAACCTCCATAGAAGTTAATCTTTAATCTTTACCTTCAGGAATAGCCTTTCTTTACTAGGAATTTGAGCAAGACAGACCTTTGTCACATGAGCTTTCAATTAGATCTGTTATCTCGAGTTTTCAGACTTTCTGTGAAGGTTGTCTGCTTGACCATTCAACACCCTGTTGTATTTTGAAGTCCTTCACCTGCATCACATCTTGGTTTTATTATTTTTCCCGAGAGTGTTGTATGTCTCATTTGCAATGCTGATGTTAACATGGGGCTTTGCAGATAGTCGGTTAAAGGGTCAGGGATTTTATATGGCAGACAGTCCGTAAGCACCTTGCCTTCTGATTCCTTCTGTGTTTTCACAGCCCTGCTGTTCGCGGCATTTGCCCTCTGTATGTTCTGCCTGTACAGCTTCATGCCACTGGTGATTAAAGTTACCAGTGCCACCTCTGTCAACCTGGGCATCCTGACAGCCGACCTCTACAGCCTTTTCTTTGGGCTCTTTCTCTTTGGCTATAAGGTAAGCAAACAGAAATCACATTCAAATAAGAAAGAATACTTACTTAGTCCAAAAGAAGTAGCGGGCTTCTTCAAGATTTTGGATCCAAAAATAAAACCATTTCGTCCTCTTGGCAAGAATTTCATTGGACAGTCCTTATACCTTTTGTTATTGCTTCCAAATTAGAAAATTGACCCAAATAAGAATTGTTCATCTAGGTTTTTCTAAAAGGTGAAATGCAGTCTATTTCCTCTTTGATATAGCCCAGGACACTATTGTACGGAAATGCTAATACATGTTGCCTGGCGATAAATAAGGAATCCCAGAGCCACTGTTGACTTTAAAAGACCATCTCACCTACCGTGGGCATCCTGAGCTTCTCCCCGCTTAGATTTATTGGGATATAATTGACAAGTGTGTAAATTTAAGGTGTACAGCGTGTTGATTTGACACACTTACATGCTGCAAAGCCCTAATACACAGATAAAAAGCCTGTGGAACCCATTGGAAGGGAGATCATTGTATTATCTTGCATGCAGTGGTTGGAGTGGTTCCATCCTTGATGGTAATTTTATATCTGGAAGGGACCTTAAAGGTAATTCAGTCTAGTGGTTTTTCAGACATTTTCTGTCTTTGCAGCCTTACAGCATTCACAAGTGTAATCTGCTCCCATCAGTAACAGCTCTTATTACATGTAGTAATTCTCAAGGAGAGGGAGGTGGGAAGGGATGAATCAGTGTCTTCAAAGGAAACAAGGGAGCAAATATAGCATCTCCAGAGAGTCTGATACACCTTCCCTTGAAAATTGCAGAATAAATGATCTTATTTTAGAGATGGGGAAACAAAGGCCCAGGGAGTTTTTGTGTAATTAAGTGACTTACCCTTAGTGAGCAGCTGGGTAGCAGTAAAGTCAAGACAGAACCTTAGTAGTTATCAGTCTTACGGTTCAGTCTTCTTCCCACTGCACCTTCTTCTCTATTTTCATTATTAAGGTGAGAAGCTCAAGCTTATGTATTTATCAAGTTAAAGTCTTGTGCATTAGAGAGAACCAGTAAGTAGGTTTTTTTTTAATACTTCACAGCTAATTTAAAAACTCTTAGGACAGCAGGTCTCATACTTTTTTAAATCTTAGGATCTTTTTAAATGCTTAAAAATTGAAGACTGCAGGTCACTTATTTCTATGATTTATCATATTAGAATTTAAAGCTGAGATATTTAAAAAATATTTATTAACTCATTAAGAAAATAATAAACTCATTGCCCTGGCTGGTGTGGCTCAGTTGGTTGGAGCGTTGTCCCGTGCACCAAAAGGTGGCAGGTTTGATTTCCAGTCAGGGCACATACCAAGGTTTTGAGTTTGATCCCTGGTCAGGGGGCACACGGGGGAGGCAACTGATCGATGTTTCTCTCTCACATCAGTGTTTCTTTCTCTCTCTCACTCACTCTCCCTCTTCCTCTCTCAAAAATAAAAAAAATTTTTTTTGAAAGAACTATATTTGCCAAAATAAAAAAGACTTAGTGAGAATGACATTGATTTCCATTTACATTTAAAAAAATCTCTTTAATGTATGACTTATTGAAAAACAATAACATCTGGTTCTTCATTCTGCCTTGTGATATCACATGTCATGTAGTCTCTGGAACATTCCATTGTGTGTTTCTAAGAGAATGAAAGCAAAAAAGACAAATAGCATCTTAGTATTACTGTAATAAGAGTTTTGACCTTATAGGCTTCCTGAAAACTTCTTGGGTATCTTCAAGAGTCTTTGGACCACATCTTGGGAACTGCTGCTGTAGCAGTCTGCCTTTCCTCAGTATACCTTCAGTGAATGCCTGTTGACCTGTTTGCTACCTTTCTCCACAGTCATTTGAACAAGCAGGATGTTGGCTGTCACGAGATCATTTTAGTTTTCAGTAGGGGATAGCAACTACCTTTCTTTGTCTTTGTACAATTTTGTATCCAGCCAGAAATCTCTGGCACTGATTTACACTATGCCCAGTAATTGGCTGTGAATTCACACTGCCTAGTTCAGTGGCTTCTCAGAAATTTCTACTTAGAGGTGCATAAACCATTCTGCCTTGCAAAGTTACATGTGACAGGAACCAGCTGTTATCTTTGCAAACTTGCTGGTTAAGGTATTCCTGAACTAAGACTGGAAGAGTATTTTTAGGTTTTTAGAAACAGCATTAAACAGTAAAAAAAAAAAAGTGCAGCTAATTCAGAGTGATCCTGACAGGCCTAGATTTTTTTCCCCCTGTGAAAGTGAGTTGCTCTGTGGAACTGTGCTTGCATTTCACATGGCCACCCCTAGAGGGTGATAGTGTTTCTGTCCTGCAGTTCAAGGCCGGTTGATAGCTACAAGAAAGCCTGAGAGCTCAACCGTATAACCAGTGCTCACCGGTGCTTTTTTTTTAAAAACCAAACATACTGATTTAGCTTTAGTAGTTTAACTTTTAACTGTCCCTCATAAGTAAAATGATGTCAAAGGAGGAAGTAAGGTTAAAGAAATACAGGCTTAGAGGTAAAAGTACACTTGTCACTGCCAAACTGTTGGAAGCTCCCCTTAATGTAAATATTTGCTCTTTAACTGCTCTAACTTTTAATATGGAGAAAGTCCTTCTGTGTGCCACGTTTTCGGCCACGTGACTTTATTCTCAAAATTGGATACAGCCTTTCCAGCTGTTTTGCTCTGTGTTTCCTTGACTCTGCATGTTGGGCAGCTCACTCTTGAATCAGATCAGATTTTATCGCTTTTGGTCAAAGGTCATTTCAAGACAGAACAGAGGAGGCTTCTGTGCTTTTCAGAGTAAATTACAGAGGTGGAAGACCAAGCATAAAGAAGATAACCTAGCATTTAAAAAATATGTTTTTATTGATTTCAGAGAGAGGAAAGGAGAGGGAGAGAGAGAGAAACCTCAAGGATGAGAGTCATTGATCGGCTGCCTCCTGCACGCCCCTTACTGGGGATCGAGCCCATAGCCCAAGCTGCACCCTGACTGTGGATCGAACTGGTGACCTCCTAGTTCATGGGTTGACTCTCAACCACTGGGCCACACTGGCTGGGCAATACCTAGCATTTTAAAAGTAATTTTTAAAGACAGAATCTTAAGCCCAGTATACCTCCAGTTTGTAAAATTGTAATATCTAAAATAACTGGCTCTGATTTTTTCAGACAGTTGAAAAAGAGGTTTAAAAATTTCTACACTCATCTGTGTCGGACTCTTAAGTAAATACCTGTTGAACAGAGTAGCCACAGAAACTTCCCATATAGACCCAGACACAAGGGTGGAATTTAAACAAAAGAAAAAGGGTGAGGGTGTCTAATCCAGGAGACTTACCTCACTCCCGCACAGCCCATCCCTTCTAATAAAGGTGCTTTGATTTAATCACCTGCCTTCTTATCAGGGACAAGGTGCGTTTTCTTCTAAATATTTAGAACCACCAGACCAAATGACATGTTTTGAATAAGTTATATAGGTTTTTCCCTCGGATAACTGAACATTTTATAGGAGAGCATGATTAACTTTCATAATACTGTCTTAAAAAGTTTAGGGTACTCTAAATAGCTTTAACTTCCTCTCCTATTCTCTGAACTCCACGCCTCCCCCCCCTTCCCCAAACATTATTAAACACCAGCTATGTATTGGGCACTGTGTTGAGTATTGGGTCTAAGAATTAAAGTTAGTAGTAGGAAGTCAGTTGGGTTGCTCAGCTTGACATTAACATTGACTTTGCATCAGCACTGAATCCAGTGAAGGCTTTCCTGCCTTAGAGAGGGCTGTGGCTCCTCTATTCCTTAAGCAGTTCTAAAGGTTTAAGGTTAAGAGGTAATTGAGCATCACCATTGAGCCAGTGGTGACCCACAGAAGCCCCCAGCTGGAGATGACCAGCAGCCTACCTGATTCCTATTTCATTTTTCCTTCTACCTTTGGGAGTATAGCTTGTTTTTTCTTCTCTCATCTTTCTCTTCTCCTTCCCCAACCCATTCTGTTTTATTATTGTTTTCCTTTGTTATCCCCTGATATGATCTCTTTTTATTGGGCATACTATGAAATCCAAGCTAATTTAAAAGCATTCATTGGCTTGAATAAAGTAGCATGCCTCATTCTTAATTTTAAAATCAGGTTAGCAGGACCACTTATAAATTGTGTTTGCCCAGCCAGGCGTGGCTCAGCGGTTGAGCATCCACCTGGGATCCAGGAGGTCGGGGTTCGATTCCTGGTCAGAGCACAAGCCTGGGTTTCGGGCTTGATCTCCAGTTGGGGGCATGCAGGAAGCAGCCGATCAATGACTCTCTCATCATTGATGTTTCTATTTCTCTCTCTCTCCCTCTCCCTTCCTTTCTCTAAAATCAATAAAGGTATATTAAAAAAAAATTGTGTTTGCGTGTTCCAAGAAAAAAAATAAATGATCTTGGGCATCTAATTACACATTCATTATGCTACATAGTTTCCCTAAATTTTACTCCATGCTTCTTGGCCAGTCTTTTTCCATTCTCTTTCTGTGTTTTATTTTTCATGCTGTTAAAAACAAATACTAATTTCCTAACACTTGAACTTTTTTATGGATCCTCAATTCAAATAGAAGCAAATATATAGAGTACGTTTTATTTATTTAAACTTTGCATTATTTGGAATATCATTTTCAGTGAAAATACACAATGAATTAGCATTGTCTTCAGTGCATTTTGTTCTGGTTTGTAACCCTAAAAAACGGGCAGGCTGGGGAAGGTCAGCGGGAACTCCATCCATCCTCGTGGTGTGTCTGTCAGATTATAAGCTCTTGCTTATAATTCGTTCTTCCAGGAGCAGAGAGGGTCGGAGGTGCCTCCTGCCAGGCTCCATTCTCTGCAGTTGTCCAACTGGACCTGACACCAGTAACCTCTTTGGGCTTCAGACTCTTCTGAAAAAACTATGTCTGAGACTCTTATCAGCTCTAAAATTCTGAATCTGCTCAGTCCACCATGAATTTTACTAAGTAACACTTGCCTACAGAAACAAGATAATTTATTAAATTTTAACAAAGTGAATTTTATTGGAATAGCAGAGATGAGGGGTTGTTGACAAGTTGTCACATCTGTACATCCACTTTTTTTAACCCTCACCTGAGGATATGTTTATTGACTTTTTTTAGAGTGAGAGGAAGGGAGAGAGAGAAAGAGAGAAACATCGATGTGAGAGAGAAACATCGATTGGTTGCCTCCCCAACGTGCCCCAACCAGGATTCGAACCCAAAACCTAGGTATGTATCCTGACCGGGGATCGGACCCACAACCTTTTTTGTTGTACGAGAGGATGCTGTAACCAACTGAGTCACCCGGCCAGGGCCGTGCGCACACATTTTATCTTAGGTCCTGTCTTCCTCTGTTTCATAACAATATTGTACGCTGGCCTGGGGTCTGAATTGGGCTCTCTCATGGTATCCATACTAACCTTTTATTCTCTGAATTAAGGGGGACTAGTTGCAAGGAGGGGTGCAGCTAGATTGTCACAGGAAAAGGCAAAAGCTCCGTTTCCTAGGGCTGGAAGGGGCCAGGCGGCTGCTGTGCCAGGGCAGGTGGTGAGCCCGGGCGCTCACCATCACGCACGCACAGGAGGGCTTTGGCAGAGGCCGCCGCACAGATAACCCGCAGCTGCTCTTCTCTCCTAGTTTTCGGGGCTCTACATCCTCTCCTTCACCGTCATCATGGTGGGCTTCGTCCTGTACTGCTCCACGCCCACGCGCACGGCAGAGCCGGCCGAGAGCAGCGTGCCCCCGGCCGCCAGCATCGGAATCGACAACCTGGGGCTGAAGCTGGAGGAGAGCCTCCCGGAGGCCCACTCTGCAGTCCTGTAGCCGGACAAGGGGCGCCCGTCCCCCGAGGCTTCCTGGGAAATGGGGAGCTGCCACCGGAGAAAGCAGAGCCTGCTGACTGCTGAGGGGATACCTGGAAAATGACCAGCCTGAGAGCAGATGCCCCACGGCATTGGATGGGACCCACTGGCTAGATCTTACAAAGGAACACAAAATAATGTTCCAGATGTGCAAAATACCAAGGTGAAGCGGAAGCCAAGCTAGGACTGTGCTTCTGTGTGTGTGAGGACCAACACCTGGTAGTGTCAGGAGACCAGGTGTGGCCCCACTCCGGGGACTTGGAGGCACAGGTGAGCGAGCAGGACGGGGCAGGTGCCCACACATGAGCCAGCCTCAGGACAGGGCTGAAAGCGGGCTGTCTGGGCTGGGCGGGTGGTCAGGAGTAGGGGCGGTCCAGGGCAGGCTGGGGCAGGTTTCCTCGGTCGGAGGCTTCTGGGTTTTGTCTTCTGAGGCAGCCGTTGTCCATGAGCCACTGATGGGGTCTGGGGACTGATTGCCTACGGCAGGAGAGCGGGTGGGGCGGCACTGGAGAAATGCCGAGATGCACATGTGAGCACCATAGAAGCGTTCACCTGGGACCCTCTGTCCGTTGTTAAAAGGGTACTGCACCACCTCTTACCAAATTCTGTGTACCTTGAGAGTTTTACAGAACTTCCTCAATGGAGGTGTTTGTAGGCAGCATCATTATGATATCAACTACCAGCATGCCACTGTACAAAAACTCTATGTAAACTTCCCGCTCATCCGCCTTAATCCTAGTGCCCCCCCC